ATACTTCATTGTTCTTTAATGTAGCATAGTATTCCATTGAATAAACATGTTCCTGTTACCAAATAGTAAGATCTCCTTTCTTCATTTCATTTAGAGCTTGCTGAAATCTGAACTGCAGTTCTATAAAAGGAGTCCATTGTTTGCATTTTGTTACCTCCTCCTTTTCTTCGCCTGACCCTTCCACCAAATGTTTGATTGTATTGTGTGCTTAGTTTATGTGTTATTTTGGAAATTAATATTCTGATTCCACCAGAGTTCTGCCACATGAAGATTCTTATGACAATTATTTTTATATGCCTCATATTTGCTTGTAGACCAAATTGTGTCCATAAGAAACAAACAAAAAACCCACATAAACATGTTAGGTGGTATGCCACATAAATCATTTGAGGAAAAACCTAACTGCGTATCCCTCATGCCTCTCAAGCATTGCCGAGGCTAGTCAACTCCAATTATTTAAAGACTCAAGGATCATATTTTGAGATAATCCATTGACTGGCTGAGTGATCTTAGGCAAACCACTTAACCTTTCTTCCCTGAAGTGTGATTATCCACAGAAGAGAGATAATCATTCTTAGCTCATAAATGGTTAGTAAGAATCACATTATTTAATGTACATAAATCATTCAGTGTTAATATTAAAATGCAAGTTAAAGCAATTATTTGCTGACTAGACAGGGATCTCTAAAGGGATTTTTATGAAAATAAATTATATAGTCAAGTTGAAGTGTTCATCTACTTCTACTAATATTGCATGTAATAGAATTCAAATATCAAATACTCGAGTTACATTATTTTAAACATTAAAATTTGATGACACACATTTTTAGTCCCCTTAACATGCTTGTCCTTTAAGTCTACAGTCTTTAGGAATACTATGCAATATATGGACGAATATTCTGATTTTGAAATGACAATTTATTTGTAAATGTTTAGAAAAATCTTACATAACCTGGAATTTCAGGGTATTCAAAACCAAGGGAAAAGTTGTAAAATGTAAATAATGGAGTGTATTGGTTAATTAAATCAAGAAATTTTATATAACTGAATGCTATTCAGTACTTAAACTGGAGATGTAGAATAATAGCAAATAAAGTGGGAAAACATTTGTGTAAAATAGAAAAAAAGAAAGACAATTAGGATGACATATTATTGTTATAAAAACTCACACAGAGATGATACTAGATTTTTTTTTTGTTGTTGTTAGGTGCTGTGGAGTTGGCGCTGACTCATAGTGACACTACGTACAACAGAACAAAACACTGCTGGGTCCTGCACCATCTTCACAATCCTTGCTATATCTGAGCCCATTGTTGCAGCCACTGTGTCAATCCATCTTGTTGAGGGTCTTCCCCTTTCTCACTGACCCTTCAGTTTATCAAACATGGTATCCTTTTCCAAGGAATGGTCTCTTCTGACAACATGCCCAAAGTAGGTCCGATGAAGTCTGGCCATTCTCACTCCCAAGGAGCATATTGACAGCACTTCTTCCAGGACAGATTTGTTTGGTCTTCTGGCAGTTCATGGTTCTTTTGGTATTCTTTGCCTACACCACAAGTCAAAAGCATCAACTCTTTTTTGGTCTTCCTTATTCATTGACCAGCTTTCACATGCATATGAGACAATTGAAAATATCATGGCTTGGGTTAGGTGCACCTTAACTTTCGAAGAGATATCTTTGCTCTTCAGCACTTTAAAGCAGTCATTTGCAGCAAATCTGCCCTGTGCAATGTGATGTCTGATTTGTTGATTGCTGTTTCCATTGGTGTTGATTGTGGATCCAAGTAATATGAAATCTTTGACAACTTCAATCTTTCTCCATTTATTGTGATGCTACTTATTGGTCCAGTTGTGAGGATTTTCATTTTCTTTATGTTGAGGTGTAATTCATACTGCAGACTGTAGTTTTTAATCTTCATCAGTAAGAGCTTCAAGTCATCTTCATTTTCAGCAAGCAAGGTTGTGTCATCTGCATGTCGCAGGTTGTTAATGAGTCTTCCTCTAATCCTGATGCTGCATTCTTCTTCATATCCACCGTCTTGGATTATTTGCTCAGTGTACAGATTGAATAAGTATGGTGAAAGGATACAAACCTGACACACTCCCTTCCTGATTTTAAACCATGTAGTATTCCCTTGCTGTATGAACAACTGCCTCCTATTCTATGGACAGGTTCCTTATGAGCACAATTAAGTGTTCTGGAATTCCCATTCTTCTAAATGTTATCTATAATTTGTTATGATCCATATAGTTGAATGTTTTTGCATAATTAATAAAACACAAGTAAACATCTTTCTGGCATTTCTTTGCTTTCAGCCAAGATCCATCTGACATCACCAATGATATCTCTCATTCCACGTCCTCTTCTGAATCCAGCTTGCATTTCTGGAAGTTCTCTGTCAATATACTGCTGTGACCATTTTTGAATTATCATCAAGATTTTAAGTGCATGTGATATTAATGATATTGCCTGATAATTTTCACATTCTGTTAGATCACCTTTCTTTGCTATAGGTACCAGAAGTAGAGTCACTTAAAGTAAGAGTGGCTCTCTCCATGTGCCGGGACAGTGGATGAGTTTTAACTTGCCTCATTTGCTTATTTGCATTTTCTAAATTTTGAACAATGAATACACATACTTTTAAAATTTTTCTCCTTTTAAAACAAAAACTTAGTTTTTTTTTTTAAAAAACAAGAATTAAATCATTTACTGTCATTTTCTAAAAATCATTCTGTGTTCACTATTGTTTCGCAGATTCCATGCCTTCCTTCCAGGTATACCTATATCTATCTCCTTGCTAAGTACTTCTTTAACAATTCTTATACTGAGGATGTGTGGATAGTAAGGAGTCCCTGGGTTGTGCAAATGGTTAACATACTCAGCTTCTAATCATAAGTTTGGAGGTTTGAGTCTATCCAGAGTCCAGGCAATCTACTTCTTGAAAATCAGCCATTGAAAATCACAAGGAGTACAGTTCTACTCTGATACACATGATGTTGTGATGAATTGAAATAGATTCTACAGCAACTGATTTTTACTGGTGGATAGTAAACTTGTAGTCATGTCTAATTCCATATCACCCCTGTATAATATTTTAACTAACTATGCATGAAATTTTAGATTGATTTTTTTTTTCTTTTAAAACTTTTGATTTTCTGCAATCTATTGCTGGTGTGAATTTACTGTTAATTTGTTACTTTACTTTTTCTACTGGCAGGTTTACAATCTTCTATTTGTGATAATCTATGTGTAGATTAGTTGCTATTTATCCTCAATACTACAAGTGCACATTTGATATGAAAAATTGCATTTTCCTTCAATTTTTGTAAATTCTCACCTGAGTCACCTTAAATATGATCTTTGGCATTTTCTGACACCTCTTTCTAGAACTTTTATGAGACCTATTTTTGAAAGCTTATTAAGCTGCCTTCTAAAATTCTTAAAATGGCTTTAATTTTTTTAATCTCATAATTTCACTGTCCTGTATTCTTCCTAAGCAACAGTGCTTTCTTCAATTGTCTCTAGATGAGAGTTTATCCTGTCTATTGAGATGAAAATTTTTATGAACTTATTTTTTCATTCATAAGATTTTGATTCTTTCCATACTTATTTTTTTTGTTTAATATATGCTTGTTTTATTTTTGTAATTTCTCATTTGAAATGATAGTTATTCCTTCATTTATGCTTTCTAGCATCCTAAAAGGGAGCTCTGGTAGCATAGTGGCTAAGACACTTGCCTGCTAACCAGACGGCTGGCGGTTCAAACCTACCAGCCACTCCTCAGAAGGAAGGTTGGGCAATCCTACTTCCGTAATGATA